ATCTATTACTTCTGTACTGAAACCAGTTGCAATTTACTTGTATGTTATTCTGTGGGATAATCTGCTGTTTTGAATGTTATGAGACATGGAGAAACAAATACTTTTGTCACAACTAAAAACATAGAGAAATATATTGTTTTCTATTTGTAAGAATGCAGCCCTTCGATTGCATACAAGCCCTTCAGAAATAAAGCTACTTCTGAAAAATCAGTGGTTGAGCAAAGTGTACTGTCTCTTTTCTTCAACCATGTCCTTTCCTTCACCCTGTGACCACACAGTTCAATAGAGTAACGCTTTTATGGGAGAATCTATGGGCACAATCACCCGGTGTGAAAATGTCAACCTCCCCTCCCTCGATTTCTTTGTTGATGCTGACATTTAGCCTGATATCAGAGAGGGGGTTCACTATAGTACGTCACATCAAAAACAACATAAAATGACACAATATGCAGGGGAAAAAGGGTGTTGAATTATCTGATACGGACCCAATTTCATACTTTGTATTGTCACAAACCTTTTCAAAACAGTATTAAGAAGCGAGACATGTTTTCTCCTTCAGCATAGCATCAGTGTGCTCTGCTACAGCCAGCATTACAACTACCCTGGATGCTGTCTCTAAGAGACCATATTCCTCTGCATCCTCTCCACCTCTCCACCCCCTTTCCCCTTTCTCTATCCCTCTTCATCACCCCCCCCCCCATCCTCCGCCTATCACCCTCTCCCCCAGGTGGCCGTGGGGCCGGCCTGTCTGAAATGTGATAGGCATAATCCCATTTAGCCTAATTGCATCTGCGGGAGAGCAGCCCTATGTGTCCCATCGTGCGCCTACCGAACCCCTTAGAACACATTATACACACATATCACATAGAAACCTCCTCAAAGCAGACATGTGGGTGCACACACGTGCACGTGCACCAGCATGCATGCTCTTACAGGGCTCTTGCGCATTACATGTACTGCATTGTGAGGTCCCTGTGCAGTTCTTTGTTTGTTTTTCCTCATCGATAAAATGCTCCAGAAGTGAGACATGGATCTCTTTCTCTCTCAAACACATGCCAGGGGAGGAGGCTTGGGGCGGGAGGTGTCTGTGCCCAGCTTGCATTAGTGCAGACGAGACAGAGAAGTCAGACAACCATGTTAAGAGAGGAGTGCTACAGTATAGGGCCTAATGGAAAGACTAAGGGTTTAATATGTGCACACGTGTTTGTGTGTGTGAGTGTGTGTGTGTGTGCCTGCACATGGATCTGCCTTAGGGGGCTGTGGTCCAATGAGTGAAGGGAGATGATGCTGCTATAGGGAGATCTGGGGAGTGGTCCACTGCAATAGGAGCCATAATGAGCTCTGTTCTCCCAGGCAACCGCTCACATATTATTCACACTAGAGCGAAGAGGGCAGAGGCATTAGGGCCAGTGGCATAGCTGCACATTAATGATCACGTTAAGAGTCCAAATGGGGATCCAGTGGCATCTATGAAATCATCATTAGCGTTATTCATGCTGTAGTTCATTTAGAATATGTGTAAGTAATCCGTCATACGTGCTGAAAGATGCATTGAGTAGAATATTTTTCATGATATTTGGTCCACTCAAAACCCTTTTCTATTCTATTCTAGTGCGTGTTCATGCATCTGTTTTGTATTGTGGCCCTTTTGTGGAGAGGCCGTGACATATTGAGCTCAAACAGGCTACAGATCAATCTGCAACACAAAGAAAATCAATGCCCCGGAACTGAGTTACTCCGATGGGTTGAGTGCATATCATTCGATTTTCAGTTGAATGAAGGACCATTACCATAAAATCAAGTCTCCAGTGGTGGAATTTAGTTGCATCCAAGGAGTATAATAGTTATGTTCAAGATACAGATCATCACAAACATTGTTACTGGCAATGGATGATAATCAAAATGATGACTACTTCAGTTATAACAGTCACTGTCTGGCATTTCTATTAAATGGCATGCTATCAGTGAAACTAAGCTTGTGGAAAAAATCCATGTATGTCATAATATGTGAAATGAAACTATTATCTTGAAAATAATAAATAGGCCCACTCTGTATAATGTGATACCACACAGATAGAGTGCCATTCAGTACTTCATATTCAAATAAGTCCCATACGGTCACATTGTTTCTGCGACAGGGACAAGAGAACGCTCACCTGTTTTTCTTAAGTATGGATAAAGCTGCAGTGCCGGTTTTCAAATGAGACAGCTTGAGTGTACCTCTCCTATATGAGAATAGCCACTACATTACAGAATCTCCAGCTGTTCCTTTATCCCCTACTCAATCCAGTCATTAAAACTTTCACATCTTTTCAAACATTTGTTGAGAAAGCTGCCAAACCCTGCTCTGATGTCTAATCGTTGAACACAATTCACAAGAAAGAAAAAAAACAGGAAAGGGATGGAAAAATATGTAAGACGTGTGAGGCAGAGAGCTTGAAAGTAATATCCGTCTGCGTTACCACATTGTAGTAGTATTCATGTCTTCAGGTTATTTTAGACAACTTTCTTTCTGTGTGTGTGTGTGTGTGTGTGTGTGTGTGTGTGTGTGTAGAGTGTTAAGTAAGCAGTGTGTGTGGATTTGTGGATTTTTATGTACTGTACACGCAGACGCGCATGCATTCGTGACCTCCAGGTCTTTGAGTCAAGGTGTGTGTGGGTGCAAATTCGATTACACTCAAGTTAAAGCAATTTCCTGCGGAATTCAATTCTTGTCCTCCGTTGCAGGTGAGCTCCCCGCGGACGTCTGTGTCTTCTCAAAGAAATAAAGCACCTATAAACAGCAGCCTTAAAGCAGGAAAGGAGAGCCAAAATGCAATTAATATGCAAATTCAGGGGGAGACTTAATGGGGAGCCTTAACAAACATTCGTGTGTTGAGAGATAAGGCTGTTTTCAGGTTGTTTTCCTCTAACCTCTGCATGTCCAAAGTCAAAGCCTTGGGGAGCTGAAACTCTTGAAAAGGCGTGGATGTTGCTGGTAATGGATTATTGCACTGGGAGAAGTAGGGCAGTCTAGGGCTATGTTTTGGAGAGCACACTGTTCGCCATGTCGTCATGCAAAATGGCAGTCAGCTAACTGAAACAATTCACTTTCGTCCTTTTATGTTATTCTGTGGCTTTTTTTCCCAGGGGTGAGCAATTTGCTCTGAATCCCATCAGAGATTGCCATGAGTGTGGGGAGGGGGGAGCGGAGGAGAGGAGGATAGAGGGGAGGAGAGGTAGAATGAGTAGCCTGAGGCGGGAGATGGAGGGCAGCAGAGAGGGTGAGAGTATGCATTCAGATTGGGAATTCATTTGCCATTCTCAGGCACAGTCATACTTCAAGAGGTTTACGAGAGACATGGAGAAGGGAGAGATGAGGCCTCTGATGTGGAATGACATGCCTCATGATAGAGGGAAAGGAGAAATAGGGAAAGAGAGACCGCTATGAATCACAGTGATAGGAATAGTGAGATCAACAGTTTGCAAAGGGGAGAGAGAGACGAGAAAAAAAGATGGACAGGTTTGGGCTGCAGTCCTACAGGTCGATGCTGCAGTCGAGGCCACAGCAGTGCTGTCTGATGGATCTAAGTCCCCGAGGACTCAACCCTCTTTTCATTCTATCCATCCCCCTCCTGCCCCCACCCTAATGATTCATCCACCACCTCCAGCCCCCCTGTGCCTTCACCATGATTCACACCCACTCCCCGAGCTAAATTATCACTGCGGTCCCTTGGAGAGCTCCATCACTCTCCCTCCATCTTCAGTTATCATCAAACAAGTATATGAGCTGCGACCGGTGCCTGATTGCATTGAAGAGCCCAGCTCAGCAGTTTTTATGAGACTACGCGCATTTGAGCGCACACTCAAACTCACACACCGCTGGCTTTGATGGCACTTTTGCAGGAAGAGTTTTCCATCTTAAAATGCTTGAGTGTTTACAAGTGATGACGCAGAGTGGATTGAGTGGAGGGCAGTGTAATTCCACAGGCAGGACACTATAAATGTTGATTAGATGAAGGTTGAGGGGAATATCTAATCATCAGGGACCCATTGGTATTCTTTTCCATCAACTGTTATGACATGGCCATAGAGGTACAGAGCACGCCAACAACTCAAGTTCACGCGCCGCACCATCAGGAAAGTTCACAAACAGGATGATGTTAAAAGAGCCTTGATTATTTGTTCAAAGGTTACAATAGTCCGGCACATTCCTAGGAGATAGTAGTGGATTGCTCTTTTGTTGAAAGTAGTTCAAATGAAAAAGCCTAAATAGAAAGGCGTGTGGGTATCCAGATTAGAGGCATGGCCCTACAGTATGTGCGGCGATGTTGGCAGGAGAGTCGGTCTGTCAGTCCACCAATTTGTTCCACAATTAAATATCTCAACAACTATTTGACTATATATAGAACTTTGTTGATCACCTGGCTATTTCATCTTGCACCATCATGAGGTCAAAATTTGAATGTGTCCAATACTGGTTTATGATACAAATACATACAAATGAATGACATTCCCATCAACCTCAGCTGTACTTTGTGTTCAGTGCTAATCATGAAATGTTAGCCTGCAAAAATGCTAAACTAAGACAGTAAACATGGTAAACATTATACATGCTACTAAACATCAGCATGGTAGCATTTTATTGTTAGCACGCTGACATTGGCATTCACCTTAAAGCAGCACTGTGCTTAAAGACCGCCTCACAGAGCTGCTAGCACGGCTGTAGACTCTTGTTTGAATGTAATTTCTCAGTGCCGAGAGTGTCACAAATCGCCTCCATTGTATTCCACATTGTGTGAGAAAGATCTGAAATCCAAGCAAATAAAACCCAAACAATCTGCACGGCTAGATAGAGGTAAGTGAGAAAATATGTTTATTTGTTATTTGGGTGAACCAACCTTTTCATGCACCCCCAAACACACAAACACAGACCATCCTCCCTCTCTGTCACCAAGCACCGATAAAGAGGGTATGATCTGGCATGTACTGGCCCCATGATTAAAGTGTACTGCGCTCACCTGCCCAAGTCCAATCAGAGCCTGTGCTGATTGCAGCAGCTTGCTGGAGACAAGAGATGGGGGGCTGGGGGCGGGGTCGGCTCCATCACTGGTGAAGTGACACTGTGGTGGTGCCATGGCAGGGCGGCAGGAAGCTCCAGCCCCAGGGAGTATCCAGCTCCGCTCTCCTCTCCACTCCTCTCTGGCCAGACGGGGTGAATCAATCATCTCCAAAGATGTCAGCATCTGCCCAAGCAATTTCAGATTGGAATAAATGGCAGATGGGGATGTTGTTCCCTCTGTTTAATCAGTTCCACCAAATGTGGTTTTATCTCTTATAAAATGAAACCATCTGTAGCACGTAGGTGTAAGGATCAAGTGAGGGAGGACGGAGGGAGAGGGTGACAGAGGGAGAGAAGAGAAGTGTGTGTTTGGTGTGCATGCATATGTGCATGTGGACGTGCATGTGTATGCTTTTCTAAGTGTATGTGTGTGTATATGTGTGTGTGTGTGTGTGTGTGTGTGTGTGTGTGTGTGTGTGTGTGTGGTGATGGAGGGCAGAGAGAGATGGAACACTGTGAAACAGAAGCAGAATAGTGGGAGTGAAATAAGAAGAAAAAAAAAGAGAAGCACTTATCCATTAAAAAGAGGGAAAATGTAATCTTACTGTGAGCTCACACCTCCACTCTAATCTCCCCCTTCTCCCTCACAGGAGAACTACCCAGGGGCCATCACCATTATATCTAGACCCATCTATTTCCTTCTCCGCCTCCAACCAGACACTGGGGCTGTAATTTGGTCCCCCTATAGCCCCAGCCGAGGCAGAGCCTTCCCTGATAAATCCCCTTGTTTCTAACTGGGGATGATAGTGTGTAGGCATTATAGCTCTCAAAGCTCTTGCCTCAGGGATTGTCTTGGTAACACTTTACTTTCGGGTGGCCTTATTTAAATGTGCAACTAGGAAAAGTCTAAGTAGACAGTGAAAAATCCTTTTATATCAGTAAGTAAATGTAAAATGCAAGCAAACAACAATGTCAAGACAAGCAGCTACTTCTGCACACTTGCTTTTACATAGTGTTGTTACACTCTCATAAACACATTATGCACAATACAAGTAAAGTGTTACTAGGGTTTTGTACAAGGTGGAGAGAGGCAGACGGTGAATGGAGAGAAAGATACGAGGGAAGGAAGGTAGGTGGGGTGGGGAGCGAGACTAGCTGTGACAAGTAGCTGTGACCCTCTGTGTGTGTTCTTCACATGCACTGCCTTATATCTGTCATTAATGAAAGTCTGAGAAGGTAATTCACTGTAGAGTCTCCTCCAGCAAGACATTCTTTTAAATCATTCATAACCGTAAAGAGAAGACTGCCTATGTGGAATGATTTTGCCAACAGCAAAAGGTCTTTGAATTGCACATATTTCAAAGTTGAATGCTCTTATTACACCGTTTAAAAATTAACACAAATACAGTTTAAAACACAAATGCAGATGACAAATTTGAGAGAAACAATTTGGAATTTAATGCAAAAACCACACTTCTAAATTATTCCCTGAGTGTCGACTGGAATGCAGTCGACTCTTTCTAGACTGCCAACATTAGGATTACACCCCTAGCCAACAACAAGTAATGGGCAAACTGTTCTTTGATCATTTTCTCAGCCAATCATCAAGCCTTATTTTTAAGACTTGTAAATCTTAATTGTTTTAGATTCATGACAATTATGATAATCAAAGTAAAACAGATAAAAGCATACAGTATGTCAGTAAAGTTATATACTAGTTTTAATAGTATAATAACAATAATATTAGTATTATTTTTATAATAATAGTATTTACTAGCAATACAAATCAGAAAATGTTAGATGAGAGTTGTTAGGTTAGGGGAATATAGGTCTAGCTCTCTTTTGAGTCAATACTGTCTGTCTTAAACTCACATGTATGCATGGAACTTAAATCCAAATTAATTTAAAATAAAAAATTTAATTGAGATAGGGGTAGGAATAGGGAATATTTATGTGAATGTATGCCATTTAATTCAATAATAATATACTATCTTTTACTCAAATTGTGCCCACTTTGTTCATTATAATTCTCTCATCTAATTAAAAGCATTAAATTAATAAAAATTAAATACAGTGTCTACTGTCATTAATCCCTTTATGTGAATGGATGATTTCAAATTAGTTTCCAGATCTAACATTTCTGTCCACATCTAGTTTATGTGGACACTTGCTTTCAGTACTGTTGAATAAACCAATAAAAACGGATTTAAAAAAAACAACATGTAAAAATATTTCTGAAATGTTTCTGCCTTAAGCCTCCCTAATCCTAAAGAAGGCTTCGGGACTAAATGTTTACAATTGCTTTACAAGATATTTCATGAGCACAGATCTTCCTTCATCATCTGGCGATTAAAAAGGAATTTCCATGTTCAAACACGTAGGAATAGTTGTGTGTCATTTATTGTTATGACATTTTAAAACTTAGTGGAAATCACAATGAATGTATTTAATACTTTTAAAAGCCAAAATATGAATGGCAAACTTTTATTGCAATTGACATACAGTATGCAGACACATGGCACGGCAGTACACATTGTTCAGTTCATCAGAAATGTGCTTCCTCTTGAATAAAGACCTTTCTGTCTAGCTTCCTATTTTTTTCTGTAGTTTTATTTGCTGAAGCCAAGGACCGTAAGTTGTTTCCTGCACACACAGCCTCTTCATTCATTACAGAGTAGGCAGAGTAAAACTACACATCGTAACAGAGAGGAGACATAAGTCAGCTTTAGCGTAGTATTATGCTATTACTTAATTTTGCGGTTTATTGCTCAAAACACTGATAATAACTGGTATTGATATGGTGCTGTTTATTTTGTTTTACAGTGTACAGAAGTTCTGCATCTATTCTCATAAATAAGCTGCTTTAATATTTTTAGAAAGCAAATATTTTTAGTAAATACAGATGATGGGAGAATTATGTGTATTTCCATGTTGCAGAGGCAGAGAAAAGACCAAAAAATGTTCCATATGATAAATATTATTGAGTACATCCCCCCACAACAAAAGGGGTTATAATTAAATTTTCTGCTTGGTTTCAAAAGGCTATCTAACGACTCTTCCTCCATCCTACAGAGACCCTGTCCCCGTTGCGCACCCTAATGCGATGGGATGTATTGTGATACAAGCTGGGATCACCATTTGTTCCAGAAGATGACTTTGATTCATGCTGAGTGCTAAATGGACGCGATGAGAGCCCGCTATATCTGGACAGCACAGTTCACGTTCACTTTATTTTCTGGTCTAGCTTTATACATTTTTAATATTAACACAGGCCAAAACGGCTCCCAGTAAGAGAGACAAAGAGACCCTACACTACTTGCATTATAAATTGATGTCGAGTGAGGCACGGCCATTCCTCAAAAATTATTTTTAACCCGTCACATCAACACAAGGCAATGCAGAAGGTAACTCACAACGGATGCACATGAGCAAGAAAAAGTCATGGAGGATGAATTAGAAGGACAGCAATGAAACAAATATCATAGAGGGAATCATTGGCCCTCTCTCTTTTACTTTCTGTGTTCTCTGTTCTGTCAGTGGGATAATAGTGCTTCAGAGATGATTTGTTAATTAGACTGTCTAGACGTTGTTCTTCAGTGCAGCTGGCCAATTGGAGATTGTGGCAAATAAGTGTATGTGACCATTAAAAGGATATCAGTCCAATCCCATCATGAGTGACAAATCACACCCTCTTGTATCGGAGAGTAAAGAGGGGATGAGGGAGAAAAAGGCAAGAAAAGAGAGACCAAGTGAACTGCAACCACTAGAACCGATAAACTATATTCACCTCACAAGGCTGGGATAATTGGTGCAGTAAAAAGCATTTCCATCCCTCGTTTGTTGTACAGTCTGTAGTGTCAGGAGGGGTAACTGGTCTGTTTGACAAGACAGCGTGGTAATCAGTCATGTACTGATAACCCGTTCCAACTGGTCACAGAGTTTAAGGACAGCAGCCCGTTTGTGTTCCTCAGTCTGCAAATAGAGGCTATTAGCTGCTGCTACACATCCAGACTCACGGTCTGAATAATCACCTCGTAAAGCCAGCCCTGCTTGTCCGTTGTGTCGGCCATGTCTGCTATTCTATTTCTATCTTTGCGGGATGAGGAACCAATTTGGGCTCCAGCAGGCCTTGAGACCGTCAGGTATAGGCAGGGAGGCAGGAGCTGAACAGAACGAACAGCCAGCCATACATATGGATCAGGTCGACAGGCTGAGCATTAATGGCCTCCCTCTGGAATCTAAAACACCGGCACAGGCCAGAGAGGAGCTCCTGGGGGAAATCAGAATACCAGCAGCCATTCAGGTCAGCATGTACGTGTTCGCTGCGTGTTACAGCTCCATTTTCCTCCCCCACCCCTCGCAGCCAGACAGACAGAAAGCCTTTTCTGAGGTGATTTATACACTTGTATTATGTATTGAGTGGAGAGCATTGTTGACCGCTTTCCGGAATACAATTGGGTTTCTGTTGAGAGCGATGCGTACAAGGCTGAAATACAGTTTGGGTGAAGGGATTGATTATGTGTGAAGAAGTGCTGCTTTTGCTGCTAGAGGAGTGTGTTTACATCATTTTTGTGGTAATTCAGTAGCTCTGCTTTCTTAGAAACTAAACCGGAAAGAGACAGAAGCAATAAAAGACAAGAGAGTGGTGCTAAAATGATCATCAAATGTGAGGGCTTTTCTTGCTTTTCTCTTACAGACTATGTTATTATTTGTTCAAACTATATTATATGTAAGTAATATTTTAGACATTAAGCAAGTTTCAGACACATTACAATGCATCTTCCTACAGTTCTTAAGCTAGACTCTAATTTTTGAATCTACTAAAATATTGCACAGTAACTGTAACAAACTGTCCTGTTTTATGTTGTTTTCTATTTTCTAACTCTTGTATTGTACTGAAATGTCTTTTTATATGTCTTTTATGTTTAATGTAAAGCATTTTGAATTGCCTTGTTGTTGAAATACGCTATACAAATAAACTTGCCTTGCCTGATTCATGCCACGGTGGTTTATCCTCAGCCCAGGCTATATGGTATATGCTTCCAGGTCACCAGTGGTTTTGTGGTTGGGTGCATTCAAATACTGATGCTACCATATTTAGTATGCCAGAAAAAACATTTAGTATGTACCAATCCATAGTATGTCAATGCAGTATGGCAAAAGTACACGGATGTCCTACTAGAC